TGACTCACCCAGGCTCTGTACATCAGTATCGGCCGTGTCACTGTCTACCTCATCTACATTCAGCTGCTACTGAAACCACGGTGACTTCACCTTGTTATCCTTCAGCCAAAACAAAGCAGAAAAAAACAAACAAACAAGAAGTCACATGATCAGAGGTAGAACAAACAGACTGGATCACATTCCTCTCTGCACAGTGTTGTGTCCTATACTGAGACAAAATAAAGTGATTTGTGGATGTTTCGTTGCTGGTCAAGGTCAGTGTGTTTTTTTTTCCCGTCGGCTCCTACATTGTTTTTCTCAGACCGATGATGGTTAGCACACAGTGGCCAGTGTTTGAAATCAATCACACGAAGCCTGATTTCCTTCTCGCTAACAGCCCGTCACTGAGTGTTACATAAGACGACAGCAGTAAATGGTTCATCGCCCCTGGCTACAGAGACGAGGGCGACTTAAGACACACACTTATGCAACTGCACGCTGTCACATCATAGTTGTTTACAGAATTTCCCTTAATTGTTCATGTCTACATTAAAGTTTCTACAGTTTAGAAACCAGACTATTTATTTAAATAAATACATTTACATTTCCTTATATTTGGTTTCTTGATGCTATCTTTAGCATTTTGCTATATTTCTGCTAGCTATGCTTTCTAAGCGAGTGACTTATTTTAGCTTCAGTTAACTTTTGTACACCCTTTACATTTTGCTGCATTTGAGCTAACTTTACTTACAGTGCGGTCTTAGCTAACTAGCTATACAAACTTAGGTTAGCTATTCTAACATCTAGCTAGCTATTCTGTTATTTATGTAAATGTTGACTAATATTAATCTTTATATTAAATATATTTTGTAATCTATATATAGTTATGATATATTAACTAAATATAAATATATGCGTGTTTGTATATACATAAATAATATATATTTTTAAATAACATTACCCACATGGAGAACAGCTCTGTGCGCTAGACATCCTTATCGACTCGATGTGTTTCCACTTTTTAACTTTTGTCATTATTTTTATTTCTGTTTGTATTTAGCAGGTGTGTGTATGATTTTCTCCACAGCGTCCATCTTGTTGGCTAGCTTACATTTTAAATTGATGTAATTTATTATTTATGCCGTTAAATTTCAGCAGCAAATACTGATATGTTATTAATGAGCATCTGCTCCCTTTCTGACCTGAAGTCTGGTGTATTTCTCTGGGATTTCTGCTCTACGTCTCACCTCGTAGAACGTGTTAATTCCCTTTGCGCCAATTAATAACCCTGCGTAGTTTTCACCGTCTCACCTCTCAGTGTACGAGGGGTTTGCTCTGCTAGGCTGTCGTCTGGAGAAGAGTCTGTGAGAGAAGACAACACACATTATTTTTAGAAAGTCTGAGCTGTGTTTTGAAATGATGGGGTATTCGGTGTTGTCATGGCAACTGTTAATAGCGATGCTCCAGAGTTTGTGTTTTTGTTTTTGTTGAAGTGGAGAAAAAAACAAAACGTCGCTCTATCACTATCTCACCCTTCACCAGGCAGCTAGGAGCCGACGATGTCGCTGGACTTAATAGGGTTTGTTCCGATGATGGGAGATGCTTCATCATAACATGAAGCCTGCTAAGCAACAGCGAATCAGGTCTAATGAGCAGTGGGTCAGCAGCTCGTGCTGCATCAGCCACGTGCCGTCAGCCGGAACAGGGGGTATTCATGTTGTCTGAAAGATAAATAAATCCCAACAACAGATCAGGAATAATATTCACAGTCACTCAGTGATATTTATGATACAAATAAATACAATTTTTTTATACATTACCTCGCGTGTCTGTAGCACGAGTTTAATGATTGGCTTTTGGATTGACCCAGTCAATCCAGTTGTTGCCACGTATCTCTGATTTTTACCCATCTGCCAAATAAGTTTATTTTCATTGTCCATTTTTTGATTTAAATCTAATAAAATTTAAAAATAAAATCTTAAAATCAACCACAGAAAAACGTTGTTAGTTGCTGCACGGAATTTAAGATGACTGTGTATTGGGTCAGTACAGATGTCAAGTGTCGTTCACTGTTGTTGTATCAATTTTAGGTCGTCATATGAGTCAAACTCAAGGCTTGGGGGCCGCCCTGGTGAAAATGAGTTTGACACCCCTGGTGTAGGTTATGATGAACTACACCACTCCAAGAAATTTGATTTTTTTTAGGTGGCTCATTTAGCTCAAGGCTGTCAACAAAATGAAAACATGAAAACATGTTTTCAGCCTTTATCTGCAGATTCAGCTGACATTTCACGACAGCATCTCTCTTTTAATGCACAACATTAATATAATATTATAAACAGTCAATAAGATTAGATAAGGTGTTATTTATGATTAAAAATGCATCTAAATTATGTAAATACCAAACACCATTAAACCAATAAGTTATTTTTGCATGTGAAAAATAAACCACACCAGAGTGACAATTAACTTTCCCCAACCACACCAGAGTGACAATTAACTTTCTCCAGGAAAGGAAGCAGAGACATTCTCTATTCTCGGCGCCCTGAGAAGAGGAAGGCGAACCCTGGGCCACGTACCCAGGGGAATTCACCTTTCACTCAGAACCATGGCCTCAGCAGTTGCCATGGGTGACGAGGAAATGTCAGGGACTTTTCTTTCTTCTTTTCTGACTCTTAGTGATGAAAAAGCACTGTACATAATGACAGACAAGGCCGACAGCACAAAACCCTTTTTCAG